AGGTGAACACCAGGTCTAAGGCATGTCCATGACTATGAGTTGGGCCAAACTTATTCAGGGACAGCCCCATGGAGGCCATGCTTTCCATGAAGTCCCGAGAGGCCCCTTGTAAGGTCGTGTCGGCATGGATGTTAAAATCCCCTAGGACAACCAAACTAGGTGTCTCCAGGAGAACATCCGCCACGACCTGAAGCAGCTCGGGCAGGGAATCCTTGGTGCAGCGGGGAGGTCAGTACACCAAAAGGAATCCTGTACTGCCCCTATTGCCCAACTTCCAGAACATGCACTCAGAGAACTGGATATTCCCAGTAGGACGCCTGGTGCAAGCTAGTGACTTCCTAAAAATCACTGCAACCCCCCCCTCCCCGCCCACATGACCTGGGTTGCTGTGTGTAAGAGAAACCTGGTGGGCAAGCAGCGGCAAGGACAGGCCCATCTGCTTCATCCAACCAGGTCTCCGTCACACATGCCAGGTCAAATCCTCCATCCACAATCAAGTCGTGGATGGCAGTGGTTTTATTCATCATTGACCTGGCATTGCACAGCAACACTTTCAGGTCATGTGGGTTTCCCCTGTTGATTCCAGTATCCATCTGGTCAAGGCCAGACCCGGAGGCAGGGATAGTCTTCAAACAATGACTAAACCTGCCTCCTTGGTAATGACATGGTCTGGTCTTAGTGTAACTCCGCCTCCTGCCTATGATCACCGAGATCGGATGTCCCAGTGCTTCCCCCCCTGTGGAACTTGTACCAGCCATCGTGTTGGCTGGGGAGCCACTCCCAGGCAGCCCTGATCCCGCCCCTTAAAAACAAAACACAAACTATACAGAACCAATAAAACAACAACAACAAAAAGGAACAGAACAATTATACTAAAATTAATCCCCAACCAACTATCCATCCCACCCACCCAACCCCAGCAAAGGAAAAAAGGAAAAAAAGGAATAAAAATTTAAATTGCCACCGACTGCTTGAGGACATTTCAAAGCACATTAGCCACCTGGAACAGGGAAGCAATGGCAGAACACTTCCCACACTTCCCCAAAAGTTTGTTCCAAATAAGGGCCTGGGCCACGGCCCCTGGGCCAGTTGGAGAAGGCCCTGGAAGGGAGCAGGCCCTGCAGTCCTCACCCAGCCGATGGTCCGCTGGGGTCATGTCCGACTCTTCGTGACCCCCTGGACCAGAGCACGCCAGGCATTCCTGTCTTCCACTGCCTCCCGCAGTTTGGTGATACTCATGCTGGTAGCTTCGAGAACACTGTCCCACCATCTCATCCTCTGCCGCCCCCTTCTTCTTGTACCCTCCATCTTTCCCAACATCAGGGTCTTTTCCAGGGAGTCTTCTCTTCTCATGAGGAGGCCAAAGTCTTGGAGCCTCAGCTTCAGGATCTGTCCTTCCAGTGAGCACTCAGGGCTGATTTCCTTCAGAATGGAGAGGTTTGATCTTCTTGCAATCCATGGGACTCTCAAGAGTCTCCTCCAGCACCAGAATTCAAAAGCATCCATTCTTCGGGGATCAGCCTTCTTCATGGTCCAGCTCTCACTTCCATACATCACTACTGGGAAAACCATAGCTTTTACTATACGGACCTTTGTTGGCAAGGTGATGTCTCTGCTTTTTAAGATGCTGTGTAGGTTTGTCATTGCTTTTCTCCCAAGAAGCAGGCATCTTTTAATTTTGTAATTTCCAGTATCCCTGCCAAGAAAACTCCATTATCTTCTTTAGTGGGTCATAGAATAATAGACTCATAGGGTTGGAAGGGATCCTGAGGATCATCTAGTCCAACCCCCTGCAATGGAGGAATATGCAGCTGCCCCATACGGGGATCGAACCTGTGACCTTAGCGTTATCAGCACCATGCTCTGACCAACTGTGCTATCCAGGTTGTGCAAACCACTCTTCTGAATAATGTTGTCTATAGGGTAGAGGGCACTGGGCTTGAGCTTATGGAACCAAAGGGGTGTTGGCCTGAAAAGGTTTGGGAAACGCTGGTATAAAAGGCCATCAATGCAACCTGTTGATATAACTGTACAGTATATTACAGCAATAGCTCATGAGAACACACCCAAAAGGAAATCATCACGTAACCTGTGTGAAACAGACTCACGCTGTAGCAAAACAACACTCAATGTTCAGCGGGCCTGTGCCACTTTCTAAATCTGGGCAATTGCTTTCTGCGTTGCAGCTTCCATTGAACAATAAACCCCACTTGGGGAAGTTCTCCTGGTTAAATAACTGCTTCTTAAGCAACTGTGCATGATTCACATCAGATAATACCCTTCTGGAAAGGGGCACAGCAGAGACCGCTGGTCATGTTATTTTTAGCAGCCGGACACAACAAATTGCTCATTTTAAAACTCAGCTTTGACGAAGCAGCAACGCAAAATGTACCATATTTTTTGCTCTATAAGACTCACTTTTTCCCTCCTAAAAAGTAAGGGGAAATGTGTGTGCGTCCTATGGAGCGAATGTAGGCTGTGCAGCTATCACAGAAGCCAGAACAGGAAGAGGGATTGCTGCTTTCACTGCGCAGCGATCCCTCTTGCTGTTCTGGCTTCTGAGATTCAGAATATTTTTTTCCTTGTTTTCCTCCTCCAAAAACTAGGTGCGTCTTGTGGTCTGGTGCGTCTTATAGAGCGAAAAATACGGTAATCTGGAGATCTTGGGGTCTTTCTAAAGAAAGCTCAACAACATTTGGGGTGTCCTGGTTTGTACTTTTAAAAAGATGACAACCCTAGTTGGTGGTTCCTTGGCTACTATGTTATGAGGCCATTTCAGGTGTGTCCTTAAGAGCTTTTGCCATAATGTTTATTTATTGATCTAACCAACTTGCATCCTGTTTACATTCCAGCAGAACTCTCAAAGTGGTTTGCACATCTCAACAATAACACACATTCCCCATTCAATGCGACTGCTAATAACACTAATATTTAAAAGGCCACATTGTAAGCGACATAACAAAACAAGGATATGTCAGAACATACATTACCATATAAGACAAATAACTATCTGTAAACAAAATAAATGCAAAATGCAAATCATATAGAAAATGTGAAAACAGCAAGATACAACATCAGGAAACAACACAACTAAAATATATAGCTTTAAAAATTTCATAAATATTACCCCCCCCCGAAAAGGGAGGGGAGGATAATTATTTGTACAATAACATTGTATTAATGTATATGTTAGAGGACAATAGGCTTCAAAATGCATTATTATTATTAGTAGCGGTAGAGGTAGTATTTAATTTAAATACTGCTTGCTTTTCAGAATGGCTTCTAAGCACTTTACAAGTAAAAAAACAAAACAAAACAAAAATCTATGGAGGCGCAGGTCAACTCTGTGTCCAGGGCAGCTGTCCACCAGCTCCATCTGGTACACAGGCTGAGACCCTCCCTGCCCACAGACTGTCTCGCCAGAGTGGTGCATGCTCTGGTTATCTCCCACTTGGACTACTGCAATGTGCTCTACGTGGGGCTACCTTTGAAGGTGACCCGGAAACTGCAACTCATCCAGAATGCAGCAGCTAGACTGGTGACTGGGAGGGGCCACTGAGTCCACATAACACCAGTCTTGAAAGACTGACATTGGCTCCCAGTACGTTTCCGAGCACAATTCAAAGTGTTGGTGCTGACCTTTAAAGCCCTAAACGGCCTCGGCCCAGTATACCTGAAGGAGTGTCTCCACCCCCATCGTTCAGCCCGGACGCTGAGGTCCAGCTCTGAGGGCCTTCGGGCGGTTCCCTCCCTGTGGAACGCCCTCCCATCAGATGTCAGAGAGATAAACAACTATCGGACGTTTAGAAGACATCTGATGGCAGCCCTGTTTAGGGAAGTTTTCAATGTCTGACATTTTAATGTATTTTTAATCTTTTGTTGGAAGCTGCCCAGAGTGGCTGGGGAAACCCAGCCAGCAGGGTGGGGTACAAATAAATTACGGTGATGATGATGATGATGTCTGCAGTGAGGATGAACGGAGGGGGAAGGCCCTTCGCTCAGCAGTTTAGCAGGGTGAAGCCCCTCCTCCCTTTTAGAATAGGTGGGATGGAGTGAGAGAGGGGAGGGGCTTTAGGTAAGAGGGGAGGGGCTTGGGGCAAACTTTGGGGAGATAGGCGAGGGGGTGGGTGAAGTGCAAAGGGAGAGGGGTTGGTCAAGTGTGAGGACGGGCAAGGGGGTTGTGATAGGAATACTATGGTCTTAGATATATGGTAATGTTCATAACCGCACGTACATAGATCAGCACAGGAAGACCGACCTGAAGCCATTTTGATTCCTAAACTGAGCAAATGTTTTCTCTGCAAGGTCAAAATGGAAAAGGCTCCCCATTGTCTTTTCCTTCACAAATCCTGTCTTAAGGGTATGTCTGTGTTTGAATAGGGTGTGAGCCTGTGACCTGGCCCAGGAACTAAGTATTTATCACTACAAAAGAATGGCCAGGCTCCCCAGGCAATCCAATCAAGTAACCTGCCAGACAGGAGATAAACAAGGACAAGAGAAAAACAACATGCACATTTCTGTTTAGACCGCCTTTTTCTGTGATGTAGGTGTGATGTACCTGAGGGGTGGTCTTAGGTTACACCCCTTCTGTGATGTATGTATGATGTTTCTGGGGGTGGTCTTGATCTACAGGGTGGCAATTTCAAAAGTCTTTATAAGGCCTTCCGCGCCATTTTTCTGGGTCCCTCCTCTCTCCTGCGTGTGAGGGGAGCACCCTGTTGCAACAGATCAATAAAGATCAGGCTTACTAGCTGCTTTGCTTCTCAATATTCTCTGGTTGGCCTCTGTTATTTTCTCCTATCAATAGGGAACCTACGTAAGGACTCTATATGGGCTCTTGGATACCCCATAAGGGAAAAGGACAATTTTTTATTTACAACAGGGTAAATTACGTAATTATTATTGAGACTTTTTTTTTGTAAAATGACTTCATGTTTGTCGTTTTTGTTGTTTACAGTCAAACAGTGGAGTTGGCAAGTGAGGCAAGCAGGCGTCGCAGCCCCTAGTATGTGGGTGTGTGGATATCATTCTGTGCAGGGGAGCCTGAAAGCAAAATAGGCTTTCCAAATTCGGGGAAGTGAAACTGGCTTCTATTAATTGCAGGAGGAAGTGTCACAGCCAAAAGAAAAGAAAAGCCTTTCTTCTGCAACTGAAACAAGAGTTCCCAAGACACAACGCAGACGGGAATGTGGGTTTTCCTGCCACTTTGATGGCTGCTTTCAACTCTTCGCTGTGGCTGATCCGTCTCTTCCTACAGCTCCACCTCTTCCTGCAAACCCCTGGTGAGTCTGGAACAAACAAACTCGTAAATGCCGTTAAATCAACTAGGACCTGCTTTCTGAGCTTAGTGAATCCCGGTGAAACACGCTCTCTAGGGAGGGAAGTGATTTGTGGCTTCACGCTGCTTGCGTGCAGTACAAACCCAGATGAAGAGGACCTTTCAAGTCTCTTCATTGCGGTCCATTTCAGATCCTTCCAGAGTTGGGTTCAACAGTTTATTGATAGGGTTGCCACCAGAAGATTAGGACCTGAGACTCAGAGGGTGGAAATTAGGGCCTCCATAGGGGTAGATGCTAGAAGGAGCAATTTCTCAAGGGCTACTGGACATGTTGACTACATTAACACATAAGTGCATTGAGGTTGAATCCCGACAAGACAGAAGTACTGTTTTGGGGGGACAAGGGGCGGACGGGTGTGGGGGACTCCCTGGTCCTGAATGGGGCAACTGTGCCCCTGAAGGACCAGGTGCGCAGCCTGGGAGTCATTTTGGACGCATAGCTGTCCATGGAGGTTAAGGGCAATTCTGTGTCCAGAGTGGCTGTTTATCAGCTCCATCTGGTATGCAGGCTGAGACCCTACCTGCCGGCGGACTGTCTCGCCAGAGTGGTGCATGCTCTGGTTATCTCTCGCTTGGACTCCTGCAATGTGCTCTATGTGGGGCTACCTTTGAAGGTGACCTGGAATCTACAACTAATCCAGAATGCAACAGCTAGACGGGTGAGTGGGAGCGGCCACCAGGACCACATAACACTGGTCCTGAGACATCTGCATTGGCTCCCAGTACGTTTCCGAGCACAATTCAAAGTGTTGGTGCTGACCTTGAAAGCCCTAAACGGCCTCAGTCCAGTATACCTGAAAGAGCATCTCCACCCCCATCGTTCAGCCCAGACACTGAGGTCCAGCTCTGAGGGCCTTCTGGCAGTTCCCTCCCTGCAAGAAGTGAGGTTACAGGGAACCAGGCAGAGGGCCTTCTTGGTGGTGACGCCTGCCCTGTGGAATGCCCTCCCAGCAGATGTCAAGGCAATAAACAACTATTTTACTTTTAAAAGACAACTGAAGGCGGCCCTGTTTAGGGAAGTTTTTAATGTCTGATGCTGTATTGTTTTTAACACTCGATTGGGAGCCGCCCAGAGTGGCTGGGGAAACTCAGCCAGATGGGTGGGGTATAAATAATCAATTATTATTATAAGACAGCCTGCTGGATCAGACCAGTGACCCATCTAGTCCAGCATCCTGTTCTCACAGCAGCTGGCCAGATGCTTAGGGGGAAAGAGCCTGCAATCAGGATTCGAACACAAGACCCTCTCCCCTCCTGCAGATTCCAGCAACTAGTATTCAGACACATGCTGCCTCCAAGAGTAGAGAAAGAACATCAGGGCTAGTTGCCATTGGTAGTCTTATCCTGCAAGAACGTGTCTAACCCTCTTAAAAGCCTGTAAAGTTGGTGCCCATCAACAAATAATTCCTTCAATACATTAGTAGCTGGTGACCGGTTAGGGAGCAATACCATTGGCATCTGTCTGTCTCGGGAGACAGTGGAGGAGTATGCCTTTAAGGGCGAAGCCAAACTGTTGGAATATTGCAGCACCTGCTGTGGCCATAGAGACCGACAGGGGAGAGACATGTTTTGTTGCGCCTGGGGCAGATGAAGGCGTCCGGTTGCGCCGACGCAGATGCACCAGGTCGTTTCTTCTCTGCGCTCCTCCCAGCGGTCATTTGTCCTCTGGTGATTGCTATGGATGTATCCCCACAGTTACCGTATTTTTCGCCCTATAGGACGCACCGTCCCATAAGGCGCACCTAGTTTTTTGGGGGGGAAATAAAGGGGGGGAAATTATTTTTTTTCCCCAGGCGCGGGGCTGGGGTGGGGGAGGCCCGAGCTTCCCCCGACCCCAGCCCCCAAACAGGCAGCTCTCTGCAAGCCGTGGGAGCCCAGCCGTGGGAGGTCCGCGAAGCCTGTACGCGCTGATCTCAGTGCGCGCAGGCTTCGGCATGCCGGCAACTCTCCGCAAGCAGCGGGAGCGCTCCCGCTGCTTGCGGGGAGGTCCGCGAAGCCTGGAAAGCGAGAGGGGTCGGTGCGCACCGACCCCTCTCGCTCTCCAGGCTTCAGCGAAAGCCTGCATTCGCCCCATAGGACGCACACACATTTCCCCTTCATTTTTGGAGGGGGGAAAATGCGTCCTATAGGGCGAAAAATACGGTATATCTGCTGCATTAGCAGAACCCAAGTGACCTCCCCGGGGTGCAAGCCTGGGCAGTGTGTATAGAGGTCCTAGGCTGCCCAGACGACAAGACCCTCCCTCTTGGCCTCACTGATGTGGTCCAAAGGAAAGCAGAGGAAGGCGTTTGGCCCCAGCTTGGCTGCAGGAGTAGCTGGAATGAGGTGGACAAGGAGCCACCCAACCACCTTAGGGACTCGACTCTGGATTTTTGTAGGGTTTACTCCTCAACCTCTTCTTCTCCCAAAAAGAGTGGGGTTGGGGGTTGTTCTTCCATGGTTTTGAACTGGAGGTCAAAGGCTGGCTCCAGAGTGATTAAAATGTTTTCAATCAAACAGGGGTGGTAGAAGCAGAATCTGGAGAGGAACCAGAACTCTATGATGTTCTTTCAGATGCCACCCTTGTAAAGGTCAAGCAGGAGCCCAAATTTCTATACACAACCGTTGGAGAGAGCGTCACCCTGCACTGCCAACTGACCCGGGCAATTGTCCGCACTACCGTGAAATGGTACAAGGAGTCCCAAGCTCTTGACACAGGAACCGATTCCCGGGTGAGAAGACTCCATCCTGACTCGCAAACAGACTTCTCCATCCTCATCCCCAACATAGAACTCCAGGATGCTGGGACCTATTACTGTGCGAAGGAAATCTTTGGAATGAAGCGCAAGGGGAAAGGCAGTGTGGTTTCTGTGGTTGGTAAGTGACTGACAAATTGTTCTTAACATGGGTGGGGAAGAACATTATCTCCAAGCAGTGAGAGGCTCCAGGGCTGCCTTCCTGTGTTTTTCCAGAATTTCATTTCCTTTGAATGAAGATCAGCTGGGACTGTTGGGTCTTTATTTACACATATAAAGGTAAAGGGACCCCTGACCATTAGGTCCAGTCGTGACCGACTCTGGGGTTGCGGTGCTCATCTCGCTTTACTGGCCGAGGGAGCCGGCGTGCAGCTTCCGGGTCATGTAGCCAGCATTACTAAGCCACTTCTGGCGAACCAGAGCAGCACACGGAAATGCCGTTTACCTTCCTGCCAGAGCGGTACCTATTTATCTACTTGCACTTTGACCTGCTTTCAAACTGCTAGGTTGGCAGGAGCAGGAACAGGAACCGAGCAACGGGAGCTCACCCCATCGTGGGGATTCGAACCGCCGACCTTCTGAACGGCAAGTCCTAGGCTCTGTGGTTTAACCCACAGCGAATACATAAAATCATAGAATTGTAGTTTAGAAGGGACCGATTCTGTAATTCTCCCCCAGGAGGATACCTTAGGAAAGGTGGGGTCACCAGGCTATTTCTCAAGGGACCAGCAAGGCTTATTTTTACGACTATAAGCTGTCTGTTTCCATCCCCGTCAGCACCCCGTCAGTCAAAAGGAGACCCTGGTGACGCAACTTTGGTTGATTTCTTCTTCCCTTCCCTTTTTCCATTTGTGTTGTAACATTTCAGATTGAAGTTATTGCTAGTTACTGCATTTTTTAAAAAATATATATGAACATCGCTTTGGGAGTCTTTCTGGCTGAAGAGTAGGATATAAGTCCTATGAATTAATTAATTAATTAATTAATATTGATCTTTCCTTAAAAGCTCAGAGCACAAAAAGTCCACATTTTAACAATTGGCTTTGTCTGCTCAGTTCCGCCCAAAGTGTGGCTGAAAATGGACCCTCCATCACCTGTCCAGGTGAATGACACTGTGACAGTCACCTGCTACGTGGAAGGCTTTTATCCCAGATACATCCTTTTTAACTGGCTGAAGGACCGGGAGGAAACCCCGCTGGAGGCGCCAGTTTCCGAAATCCTGAATCAGGATGGGACCTTCTCCCTTCGGAGTTCCCTGGAAGTGACAGCAACCAAGCGGAACAGCTCTTCTGTGTTCACTTGCCGGGTTGTGCACATCTCCCAGCCCCCCATTAGCAAATCTGCGGTGCTAAAAGTCTTAAGCAGCACAGGTAAGCCTGAACCCCATTTCCCCCAGAAGTATCTGGATATATGTGAAGGCTGCTTTCTACCAAATCAAACCAATAGCTTGCTCAGCATTGCCTAGTGACGCTGAAGATCTCCATGGCTTCCCAGTCCTGCTACTGGACCGCCAGTAACAAAGACATTAGTAAGAAGAGCCCTGCTGTATTGTATCAAATGTTCATCTCCTCCATCCTTCACCTTCAAAGAAGGTGCTCTGGAGTGCAACTCCCACCAGCCGCAGGCAGCCAAACTGTGCTGGCCAGGGCTGATGGGAGTTGTAGTCCAAAACATCTAGAGGGCACCACGTTGGCAAAGGCCGATTTAGTCCCATTCCCTTTCCCCCACAGCGCAGAACAGATGCTATTGAGACACATACTGGCAGAGCAAGGTGGCCAATAGTCCTCTCCTGTTGATGCTTCCTAGCTGCTGGTATTCTGTGGCGTGCTTCCTCTTGACATCATCATCATTTATTATTTATAATCTGCCCATCTGGCTGGGCTTCCCCAGCCACTCTGGGCAGCTTTCAACAAAATATTAAAATACCGTAATACATCAAACATTAAAAGCTTCCCTAAACATGGAGGACCCACGTAGCTATCTCCACTTCCATCAATTTGTCTTCTCCCCTTTTAAAATCATCTAAGCCAGTGGTCCTCACCACATCTTGGGGCTAATAATAATAATGTTTACAGTTATACCCAAATTAAAATAACCACCAACCCCAACTAACATTTAACCAACACCAACCCAACAAAAACAAAACAGGGGAACCAAAATTAAAACCATTTAAAACCCCATATATACAACCTGGCACCAACTTAATGCAACACATGTACTCTTCCAGTGTGGCTTGGGGCCTTCCCCCAAATTGCAGATTGCTTTGGAATGAAGCTACTTTGTCCATCCAGGCCAGTAGTGTCTTTCTGATGTCATGGACTGGTTGGGCACAGAGGAATGGTGGGAGGAACCAGCTGGGGAACCAACAAGGGAAGAAGACACAGAGTCCAAGGATTGGTGGTGGGACAATGTTGAGTGGTCAAAGGGAGAAGAAAGAGAAGGGGAAGTGTCAGAAGCTGAAGAGGTAACAGGGCTTAGTGAGCTGGGAGAGTCATAGAATCATAGAGTTGGAAGAGACCACAAGGGCCATCGAGTCCAACCCCCTGCCAAGCAGGAAACACCATCAGAGCACTCCTGACATATGGTTGTCAAGCCTCTGCTTAAAGACCTCCAAAGAAGGAGACTCCACCACACTCCTTGGCAGCAAATTCCACTGTCGAACAGCTCTTACTGTCAGGAAGTTCTTCCTAATGTTTAGGTGGAATCTTCTTTCTTGTAGTTTGGATCCATTGCTCCGTGTCCGCTTCTCTGGAGCAGCAGAAAACAACCTTTCTCCCTCCTCTATATGACATCCTTTTATATATTTGAACATGGCTATCATATCACCTCTTAACCTCCTCTTCTCCAGGCTAAACATGCCCAGCTCCCTTAGCCGTTCCTCATAAGGCATCGTTTCCAGGCCTTTGACCATTTTGGTTGCCCTCCTCTGGACACGTTCCAGTTTGTCAGTGTCCTTCTTGAACTGTGGTGCCCAGAACTGGACACAGTACTCCAGGTGAGGTCTGACCAGAGCAGAATACAGTGGCACTATTACTTCCCTTGATCTAGATGCTATACTCCTATTGATGAGGCCCAGAATTGCATTGGCTTTTTTAGCTGCCGCGTCACACTGTTGGCTCATGTCAAGTCTGTGGTCAACCAAGACTCCTAGATCCTTTTCACATGTACTGCTCTCAAGCCAGGTGTCTGTGGTGGAGAGGAGGCCAGAATCAGAGGCAGAAGCTGAAGCAGAAGGGAATTGAAGCCAAGAGACAGAGATGAGTCCGGCTGTTGAAGAAGCAAGAGTGTCTCTTCCTTCTGCTGTGACAAGCTCCCCTTCTCACTTGTTCCCCAGAACCAGAAGAGGCATGAAAAGGGTGGTTCTCTGCATGCTGGCGCAGTCTCTGATTGCTTAGAAAAAGCCCTGGAGAGAACTTAGACAACTGTAGGGAAGCAGAGACTTTCAGTCTCAGCAACTAATTTTAAAGGAGAAAGGCCACTTGGAATACACTGCTCTGACACTCAGCCAGGTCTATGGAGGTCCTGTTTTAGCTGGTAGAAAGTCAACTCCAACTTTGAACTGGGCGATTACTGACTGTCCTGTGACATCTGACTTGTGGGGACTTTCCAGGTTTTGGCTTTAAGCTGGCTACTAGAGATGCTCTTATGCTTGAACTGAGCCAGTGGAGGCTGGTCTATTGGGAAGAATGCGGCACTTTCAGACCACCCCTGAATCTGAGCTCAGCCAGCCACTATCTGTTTACCTTTTTCCTTACAACCAATGCAGGGTTTGGCCTTGTCTCTCAGCTTCCTCCTTCTTAAGCTCAGCATTGCCCGTTGGTTGAACTCAGAGGGGAAGAGAATTAGGACAAACCTAGAATGAGTTGGCTCTGTCCATCATTGGCCCTGGTGCCCCTGCCTTCCACACCACCAATCCAAAAGGGCACCAGTCACCACTGCCGAACTTGTGACCTTCTGAAAGCAAAGCGTGTGGTGGCTCTTTCTCTGTGGAAACTCCCTGAAGGTTGCCCAATGCAAGTGATTCATGATGAACGCACGGGTTCATGGAAAGTGTCTTCTGTTGCCAACACCAACACTTTCCAGCAAAGTAACATGTCGCCAAGGCAACCGTCTCCATAGGCAACTTTTTTGGCACAATCCCAATTTCCGCCGAGTGTTGACGGAGAGCTCTGTGCAGTCCCATTGGCGAACGGCAACCACCTGCAACAGCACACCAAGTCTCTCCAAGCACATGGCCAGCGCTTCAGCCCTTCTCCCGTCTTATATCTGAAGGAGAGGGAGATGGAAAGGTTTCAGCAAACCATCTTTCGTGCATTGTGGATATTTACTGAGGACTTTTGCAGGTGCCATGAGAGTTGCTGCTGTTCTGGGCTGCATCAATAGAAGTATAGTGTCCAGACCAAGGAAAGTTGCTGTTGTTGTTGTTGTTTAGTTGTGACTGACTCTTCGTGACCCCCTGGACCAGAGCATGCCAGGCACTCCTGTCTTCCACTGTCTCCAGCAGTTTGGTCAAACTCATGCTAGTAGCTTCAAGAACACTGTCCAACCATCTCGTCCTCCGTCGTCCCCTTCTCCTTGTGCCCTCCATCTTTCCCAGCATCAGGGTCTTTTCCAGGGAGTCTTCTCTTCTCATGAAGTGGCCAAAGTCTTGGAGCCTCAGCTTCAGGGTCTGTCCTTCCAGTGAGCACTCAGGGCTGATTTCCTTCAGAATGGATAGGTTTGATCTTCTTGCAGTCCATGGGACTCTCAAGAGTCTCCTCCAGCACCAGAATTCAAAAGCATCCATTCTTTGGCGATCAGCCTTCTTGATGGTCCAGCTCTCACTTGCATACATCATACTGGGAAAACCATAGCTTTAATTATATGGACCTTTGTGGGTAAGGTGATGTCTCTGCTTTTTAAGATGCTGTCTAGGCTTGTCATTGCATTTCTCCCAAGAAGCAGGCGTCTTTTAATTTCATGGCTGCTGTCACCATCTGCAGTGATCATGGAGCCCAAGAAAGTAAAATCTCTCACTGCCTCCATTTCTTCCCCTTCTATTTGCCAGGAGGTGATGGGACCAGTGGCCATGATCTTTGTTTTTTTGATGTTGAGCTTCAGACCATATTTTGTGCTCTTTTCTTTCACCCTCATTAAAAGGTTCTTTAATTCCTCCTCACTTTCTGCCATCAAGCTTGTGTCATCTGCATATCAGGAAAGTTGCAGTACCACTCTATTCAGCCTTGATCAGACCACACCTGGAATACAGTGGTACATCTGATTATGAACTTAATTCATTCTGGAGGCCCGTTCTTAACCCCAAACCGTTCTTAACCTGAGGCAAGCTTTCACAAACGGGGCCTCCCGCTGCTGTCGTGCTGCTGGTGCGTGACTTCTGCTTGCATCCCAGGGCAAAGTTCGTTACCAGGAGACCTACTTCTGGGTTAGTGGAGTTCATTACCCGACGCGTTTGTAAGGACGACAGCACGTAACCCGAGGTTCCACTGTACTGTGTCCAATTCTGGGCACCACAATTTAAAGATGTTGACAAGCTGGAAGGTATGCAGAGGAGGGCAACCAAGATGACCAAGGGTCTGGAAAACAAGCCTTATGAGGAACGGTTGAGGAGCTGGGAATGTTTAGCCTGGAAAAGAGGAGACTGAGAGGAGATGTGATAGCCACCTTCAAAGATCTCAAGGGCTGTCACATGGAAGAGAGAGCAAGCTTGTTCTCTCTTGCTCCGAAGGGTAGGACTCAAACCAATGGCTTCAAGTTACTAGAAAGGAGATTCTGTCACGGTCGGTTCACGGGCGATCGAAGTCCCAGCAGGGGACGTCAGGACCGGGGGCAAGATGGCGGGGTGGGAGCAGGAACGGGGGTCCAGAAGCCAGGGGTCAGGAAGCCAAGAGTCTGAGGGTCAGAAAGCCAGGAGTCACGAAGCCAAGGGCCCAAGGATCAGGAAGCAAGGAGTCAAGAAGTCAAGGGTCAGAGGATCAGGAAGCAAGAAGCCAAACGCAGCAAGGCAGGAAAGGTGTTGCTGTGGCAAAAAGCTGAAGGGAAATGCTGACCTTATAACCATTCCCGGCTCTTGCCACCAGGTGCTGTGAGTTAGCAATTGGCCTCACCTTGCCTCTTCAGAACAAACTTAGGAAGGCCCCAGTCCTGCAGAGTCCTATTGGTCACAGGGCCTGGCTCCTGCACGCACACCTGACACAAGGGCTGTCACATGGAAGAGAGAGCGAGCTTGTTCTCTCTTGCTCCGGAGGGTAGGACTCAAACCAATGGCTTCAAGTTACAAGAAAGGAGATTTTGACTGAAGTCAGGAAGAACTTTATGACAGTAAGAGCTGTTTGAAAGTGTAACAGTCTCCCTCGGAAGGTGGTGGACTCTCCTTCCTTGGAGGTTTCTAAGCAGAGGTTGGGTGGCCATCTGTCAGGGATGCTTTAGCTGAGATTCCTGCATTGCAGGGGGCTGGACAAGATTGACCTTGGGGCTCCCTTCCAACTCTGCAATTCTA